GTTTAGGGTTTTGGAAGTTAGAGAATTGAGAGGTTATTTATAGAGATGGAAATGAGTTTGGGGCTGGTAGTTGAGGAAGAGTGATTGCTAGGGACAGAATTAGTTGTGGATGAATTTAATGTTTACCTTCATGTAATTAAGATCCAACCCTCCTGGCTCAACTGCATTGTATTTATTTTTTAGGTTTTTTAACAACCAAAAATCCCATATTAACCAATTTCAAAGACCTTGCTAAGTTACTATAATGAGAGATTGTGTTATGACTACACTATAGTTATAGAAACTGAAGACGGAATGCAGATTTTCTAGGGGAAAAAAATGATTAACAAATAATCTATGGTAGAAATTTTATAAATACTCATTCTAAATCAACATTGAACATTGAACATTTGGTATGATTTAGTACTGGTTTGAAATGCTGATATCATCCGCCACCAACCACGGAGACTGACCGGTCAGTTTGAAAATCTAACTTAGTGTGTAGTTTCTTACCTGTTTTTCAAATTTAAAACTACTCAGGTATAAATTATAGATACGGAGTAACCTGTTACCTGTAGTAATAGTGCAGTATTGATGATGGTAGAGCGACAATTATTAGGCGAAGGATTTTGAGTTATATCTAGAACACGAGATTAGTTAAGTGTGCGGTCCGTACGTTTTGTAGTTCCAAGTAGTTGTTAAGGTAGCACAAAGATGTAGAAGCATCTTCTAGTACTATGAGCTGTGTCCAATTGATTTGATTGTTTAAGAAAACCGTTTTGGTTGGTTTCCAACACTATCTTCACTCCTTTCATAGCGTTGTCTAGTGGTCCCAATTGTGTTCGGTTTAACCGATTCTAAACCAAAACCTGATTCTGAAGAAATACATTCGGTTTGATTTTACAAATTCATAAATCGACAACACTACAATTTGAAATCAGTTTCAAAATTAAGAATCGAATGATATTAAAGCACAAAGCAAATTTCATTTCCTCTGCCAGTCCGAAACAATTGAGGAACTTACAAAGGCATCAAGAAGAACCTCTCGGATAGGAAAAGCATCAACGAGTTTGATGATACACCAAAATACATATGTATATACCTGACCAAGGAGGTCGCTTACGAGAACTTCTAATACTTGGTCCTAGGGCCAACATCTTCCGTCCGGGATTACATTAAGCCTTCTCATGGAAATTTCCCTACTTTGACGATGCTGGCTCCTCAAAAAGTTCTACAAAGTAACATAAATATGTTAGACATAAGCCGTGATCAGACATTTGCCTCGATCCCTAATCCCTATAATCTCTACGCGTTCTTCTTTCGACTACTCGCCAAATCAAGTTCCTTAATCTACTTGATCATCATATCAATACTTGGGGACAGCCATATACTGGTTTTCTACGCAACCCATACTTCTCTACCATTTGGTATTTGTATGAATCTAATGTATGCATCTACTTACCTGACGCCAAAAAACAGGGATCCAATAGGAGGCTTCATCGCTCGATTCTAGCAGCTCGGTATCTCAACTTCCTATTTCGTTTATCCTGAAACAACCAAACAAGATGTTACATTGGTACAAATTCTCCTAGACAACAATCAAAAACAGGACAAGATCAGTTGAATTCTTGGCTTTAGACAACCTTCTTGCACCTTAATCTATCGAAAATCGCATTTCTTAATTCTTAGCTTATTATGATTTTAGTACCTGTGCATATATCATAGCCGAGCTCCTCTCAACATCCGAAGCCAAGCTCTCGACCTTAGCCAACATTTTCTCATACATTTCTTCAATCCCTCCTGTATAGTTCGCAGCTTCAGCTCCAACCAAACGTCTCAGGTCTCCCACATGTAATCCATCTGCTAACGCATCGATCTCCTTCTGATCCTTCCCCGCTTGTTTCTTCGCACTTAAGGACCCCTCATCGTAATCCACGCTCATGGCAGACCTTCTCAACTCGCAGACCAATGGCGGAAATCCCGATTTCGGACTAAACGAACCGTAATGGCCGCGAAAAGCCGGTCCGATGTTGACTATCCCAACGGATCTCGGTTCGAGCCGCTGGTTCGAGGAACGGAACTGAAACGAACGGTACTCGTGAGTGTGGATTAACTGATCCGCCAATGGCGTAGTAAGAAGGAAGAACACAGAGGAAGCCATGTTCGTCGATTTAGGGTTTTCTGAGTCCTCGATTGGTAAGTGAAATTGAGATGAGAGAGATGATGAGACGGCTAACTCTCGCATTGAAGGACGATTAGAGGTTTTCCTACGAGCGGAGAACCAGCCAATCAGATGGTCCGGCGAGTCGACTCGGAGGTAGTCGATTCGACGCGGATTGACTCGGCCAAGCGGATCATAGAAGGAGACAGTCTTACCAGAGCAGATAAAGCTTGTAACGGTGGCGATAAGCTGATCAGAGGAGGAACTCGATTCCGCCGGCGAATCGTCGGATAGATTAGAAGGGACGATTCGGTGGATTTGGCCGAAGATCAATCCATCGACGTCACCGGGAGAGGAAGAAACTCGTTGGAGCAGGGACGCCAATGTTGGACCAGAAATCTCGATTCTCTCTAGAAAGAGATCGTCCATGACGACGACGAAGAACACGAAGAAATGAAAGATGTGAAGTCACTGAAATCTCCGTGCAAATTTGTGTCAGAACTTTACCCATTAAAACGACGTGGCGTTTCATGTTTTATCTAGCGGTTAGTGTGTCGTTTCAATTTCAGAAAACGGCATACATTTTGCACTCGAAGCCCGTTTATTCACCTAAGCCCAATGAAATATGAAGCAACATTTTAAAAGGAAATATGAAAGGTCAATTAGTTCCTTAATCTTCTGCTTTAAGGTAGCAACGGTGTTTACAAGTGTCGCCATAGTATTTTTTTCTTTGGAAATAAAGAAGAGAATAAGTGCTTTGTTTACAAATTACAACGAAGAAAACAACTCATAGTTAGAAAACCAAAAAAAAAAAAAAGACAACTCTTAGTTTGGGAGTTTTGAAGGAGAGGAAAAAACCAAAAAGATGGTGCATCCTTTGGTTGATAGAGCCACAAGCGATATGCTAATTGGTCCTGACTGGGCCATGAACCTAGAGATATGTGACATGCTTAATCACGAGCCAGGGTAAGTGCTAACACAATATTCACTAATAATTTTTTTTATGATCGGATCAAATCCGCAATCCAATGCTCGGTTGTGATCTAAGAGAATCGATTTTTGTTAACATGTTTAACGTTTAAATCTATGTTATGCATTTGTGTTATGGTGGATTTGATATTTCTTGGTTCTTCTATAACGATTTTGTTTTATTGGTGTGTATGGATGATATGTGTTTTGTGTGTTATTATAGGCAAACGAGAGAGGTTGTGAGTGGCATCAAGAAAAGGCTTACTAGTAGGACTTCCAAGGTTCAGCTTTTGGCTCTTACTGTAAGTTCTATTTGTCATTCGTTTTCGGTTTAATTTGGTTTGGTTTAGTGGTATAAAGTATTGGTTTAGCCTTTGGTTTTTGGTTGACTAAGAATTTTGTTATACAAAGGAATATGTGTACTTTAGTTGAGTTTTGTGTGCAACCAACCAAAAGTATTTACATTGTATTGTTTTTCTTCCTTTTATAATATATTCTATATTTTATGAGAAGTTAACGTAATTTTGAGATTATTACTATTGTAGTTGCTAGAGACAATAATAAACAACTGTGGGGAACTTATTCATATGCAAGTTGCAGAGAAGGATATTCTTCATAAGATGGTGAAAATGGTCAAAAGGAAGGTCAGGCTATGATTCATTTTTAACTATTGTTTTATCCATTTAACTCTTTATAATCATAATTTTGTGACACCAAATTTATTATTTATTTGTTGAACTCTATAGCCTAACATCCAAGTGAAGGAGAAGATATTGATACTTATAGATACTTGGCAAGAGGCCTTTTCAGGTCCACAAGGAAGACATCCACAATATTACGCAGCATACCAAGAATTGTTGGTATGTTTCATTTTTGTTGTAACATTCCCATTTTAAATTCAACATACCGCGACACGATTCGAATTTTGGATTTGCATTTATTTTCTTCATCTATTTGCAGCGTGCAGGAATTGTATTCCCTCAACGACCTCCAACCCCACTCAATTCAGGACAAACTGGTCCTTCGGCAACGTATCCACAGAGTTCTCGTAATGCTAGACAAGAAGCTATTGATACGTCAACAGAGTCAGAATTTCCAACTTTGAGGTGTTTGTTTATCTTAATTATTCCCCATTATTTACTATGGTTATTGAAAGCAAAATATTGATAAAAGTAGCATTTTTTTGTGCTGAAGTTTGACGGAAATTCAAAATGCAAGAGGAATTATGGATGTGTTAGCTGAAATGATGAACGCAATAGATGGAAACAACAAAGAGGTAATATCTTTTCTTACACCCAAATTCTGAAAAGAAGGTATAATATAAAATTCTAGTAACAGTATTTAACAAATGAATACTTTTGTTTAATTTTGGGTGCAGGGACTTAAACAAGAGGTTATTGTAGATCTTGTTAGTCAATGTCGCACCTATAAACAAAGAGTAGTACACCTTGTAAACTCAACATCGTAAAGACTTAACCTTATACTTGGAAAATTTTGTTTTAAAGCTCGATCACTTTTGATGAATATAAGATTATTCATTAATAACCCGTTTTTGTTCATGTTTCAGAGATGAATCGTTGCTTTGCCAAGGCCTAGCCTTAAATGACGATTTGCAGAAATTACTTGCGAAGCACGAAGCCATTGCGTCCGGAAATATTATGATAGAGAATGAAGAAAAATCTAAAAAAGAAGTTCCTAAGGACGCAACTCAGATCATAGATGTTGGTTCAAGGTAAGAATCAGCTCTAGTTGTATGTTTTATTTTCCCAAGGAATATCATTTAGAAGTGGAAAGAGACTTGGCTCTTGACTAAATTGTGCAAATGTAAAGAATTGATATTTGTTACGTTATATAAAATCTTGAAGATTTCGTAACCATAGGCATTAGTCTAGTGGTTTATGATTTAAGGTTTAAAGCATTCTAAAATATTTTGTAATTCTTTTGCAGTGAAACCAAAGATGGTAGTGTTGTTGCTACTGCAACCAATGGTCCAAAAATAGATCTTCTTAGTGGAGATGACTTTGAGACACCAAATGCAGAAAACTCACTTGCTCTTGTTCCTCTTGGACCTCCACAACCAACTAGTCCCGTAGCAACGCCGGATAATTCCATCGTCTTAATCGACATGTTATCAGATAATAACTGCGAAAGCTCTACTCCAGCTTCGAATCCACACTCGAATCATCAGATGGTGCAACAACAACATTACTCAAATGGATTTGGACCGGTCCATCACGACCAATCTTTTTATGGACAAGGGTCACCTGGCCCTGTTTGGAATCTCCAAATCTCCCAACAACACCAACAACCATCTTCTCCTGGCTATGGAAACCAACCCTTTTCGCCTACCTTTAGCCCATCCGCCTCTCCTCACTATGGTATTCATCTACCACTCTGCTTAATAACCGCGTATATCTTGGTCTGAAACTCATACTAATCCCTGGTTTGTTGTCTTATTTCTATAAGGTGGACAAAACAACAATGTTTTAGCACTACCTCCACCACCATGGGAAGCTCAATCTCCAAGCTCTAGCCCTCAATACTCTCCTACTCATCCGATGCAAGTGACTCAAGTGGTCATAACCACACACACTCATCAACCACTCGGTTACAACCCTCAAGGTCAAGGTGGCTCTCCTCATGCTATCAACAACAACATGTTCGGTATGTTCCTTCCTCCAATGAACGGAGGCCAAATGTCACCCTTTGGCTACAACCCAAACATCACAAACAACATTCATAACCCAACTAACATGTACGGAGGAGGAGGCTATGGAGTACAAGCTCAGGCACAACAACAGTATCTTGTAGAACAACAAATGTACGGAATGTCTCTTCAAGACAATGGAACCAACAATACTACAAATCCGTACCAAGTTTCTTCTCATCCACCAATGGTGAAACCCATGATCAAGAAACCAGAGGACAAGCTGTTTGGTGATCTTGTTGAGCTCTCAAAGCTCAAGAAACCCACTTCCGAACGAGCCGGTAGTATGTAAAACCCACATTTTTGTTTTCACTTTCAAAAAATTAGAGATTCCAAATTTTTCATGTTGACTTTAATAGAGAAAACCTGATTTAAAAAAAAAAAAAATATCGAATTATTCGAGTTTTGGTCAAAAAAATTTCTCTCGTGTGGTGTGACTTAATATATAAGGACTTGGGACACAAATAATGGTTTCAGATTCTCATTTCTGCTTCTTCTTCTTCATCAATGGAGGAAGAAGACTCGATTTCCGCTGATTCACTCTCTCTCAACACTCTAGCCTCTATTAGATCACTCATTATCAACGCCGACACTTCCGTCTCGGTGATTTCCTCGGTGTTCGATTTCTTTACTGGTCTACTAAGCCGAGACGACTCCGCGATTCTTCACCACGTTCTCAAGCTACTCTCCGACCTTGCTTTCCATCGAAAGGAATTAGCACCACAAATCTTCGACTCGGTCCTTTCCAACTTGCTCCGCCTTCAAAACTCCGGTGCCGACGAGAGCCGAGGACGCGTCGCCGTGGAATCGCTTGCTGTGCTTGCGTCGTTATCCGAAAGCAACCGTAGCATCGCCACCGCGATTTCTAAAATTGACGGCGAGGTGTTTGCGTCGATCTGCCTCGGAGCTTCTGTATCTTCTCGATTGTGGCTACTTAGGAACGCGGAGAGGTTCTATGTCTCGTCGTCCGTACTTTTCACATTGTTTCTAGGGTTTAGCAAGGATCCGTATCCATGTATCAGAAAAGTAGCTCTTGATGGACTGATTAGTGTATGTAAGGTTGGTGACTTCGATCACCCCAATGCCGTACAATGTTGCTATACTCGTGCTGTTGAGCTTCTTGGCGATGCTGAAGATAGTGTCAGATCTTCTGCAGTTCGAGCCGTAAGTTTTTTTCTTCTGATTGATGAAAGAATTGTTGTAAAGTGGGAAATCTGATCATATCTAATTTGGGGAATGGCAACTTTTTTGGAATGTTCAGGTTAGTATGTGGGGCAGAGTTTTGATAGCATCCAAGGAAGAGACGAACAGAAGAGAGTGTACAGATGCTGTGTTTCTCCAGGTAATTAGCTCCTCTCTTTCTTTATCAAGTTGTTTCTCAGTGATCTTGAGGAACTACAATAACCAAATGCTTGATGTTTTCTTATAAAAATGCTTTCAGCTTTGTTTGATTGTGAGAGATATGAGTGTAGAAGTGAGGGTTGAGGTCTTCAAGGCATTTGGGATATTAGGGACTGCATCAGAAAGCATTATATTGCAAACACTTTCTAAAAAAGTATTGGAAGCTGGAAAAGGGAAGAAACCGCAGAATCATCTTTCAAATGATACTGCTGATGTCTCTGCTGCAGCTGGAGTTTTCATTCATGGTTTTGAAGATGAATTCTACGAGGTACTCTTATGATAAATTTCCTTTTTTGTTTTGTCTTTGCAACATGATACCTTTCAGTTGAGTTTTTTTATTGTTTTTGGACTTATATATCGGCATTTGCATGGCTCATTCTGAAGGTACGGGAAGCTGCGGTTGACTCCTTCCACTCCCTCTCAGTAAATTCTATCAAATTCCCAGATGAAGCTGTGTACCTATTGATGGATATGCTATACGATGATTATATGGTTGTCAGGTTGAAAGCTTTACAGGCATTGCATCATATAGCAGACTTGGGGAACCTGAAGATACAAGAAACTTACTTGCCCGGCGTAAGTCACCATATTCTTTTGTCCTTTTTTCTATAGTACTGGTTAGGTAAAAAGATACTTTGCAATTCTTCATAAGTTCGGTGTCTTGTTTCGGCTGATCCAGGTTTTTTGCAAATCACTTCCTATGGGTTTAGGCTCACTGAAGTAGCTCCAGTGAATTGTTTGCACTCTAGGGCCAATGCTTAATTAGACATTAGGTGATTTGCTACTAAACTTACCTCGCTGCTGCTGGCTCCATTTATTGTTGCTTGGTTTTATTTGGCTATTTCTTTGCTATTAGCTGATAAAGAGCTGCTGCTCTACTTTGCAGTTTTTGGATGCTATTGTTGATACTTCTGATAACGTAAGACTTACGGCTAGAAACATTCTTAAATTGGCAAAGCTGCCTGATCTGAAGCTGGTCAACAAATGTGTTGATGGTGTCCTAAAAAGTTTAGAGATGTATCCACAGGTGGGTATACTTACCTACAGAGATCAAGTAGCTTCTGATTCCATCAATTCTTTCTTCTTCTTGAACTTCAATTTTCTTGCTGTTTCATGCCAGGACGAACCTGATATCTTGTCTTCTCTGTTCCATTTCGGACAAAACCATACAAATTTCTTACACAGTATGGTCAAGAGATTTAGTGAAACGGTAAGCAAGCATCTTTTTCACTCTTTTCAGGACTCGCCAACTATAGTCATACTAATCATTTCTTCACTTACTCTGCCATGCTCTTCAGTTAGAGACATCATCCGGAACTAAATCTGAATTCAACTGCCTTCAGTTATCTGCGTCGCTGATGCTGATAATCTCAGCCCCTCTCTCAAACAAACAAAGCTTCACTTCCATACCACCTATGGCTTTTTCATATTCGCTTGCAATGCTGGGGAAATTCTCTTGTGGACTTCATGATATGATGGACCAGGATACGCTGTTGGCTTACTTGGCTCAATGCGCTCTTCTTTCTGCTTCTTCGGGGACAGAATTCAACAAAGGAGATATATTTTTAAATGCCTATAGGCGCAGTAATGCAGATCTTAGTGGAAACCCTGTCCTACAACCAAACAAAGATATACCTGCTGAGAGCAAACACGTGGCTTCCGAAGAAGAACTGGAAAATAGAAATCAAGCACTGAAGTCTGTTAGCCATATACTGTTGAAAATAAAGGCTGCCTGGTTATTATCACAATCAGGATGCTCGAAAGAAGCACTCCGAGCTTTGAGGTTTTACAGCTTGCAATCTATCGATTTCCAGAGTCTATGTTACTGTTTCATGTGTATTCTAACTATCTTGTTTCTTTACTTCTTTTCCAGGGCTTGCAAACAGGAGTTATCAACTTTGGCAGCCAAATCTCCAATCTCCAATGGTGCATTCGAATTTGTGTATCAATACGTTCACATAATAGAACTTCTCACTCAGGCATGGCCTCATTTCGAATACTCAAGACCAATTAGCACTTGTAGATCTGTAGAACTGGAACTACTGATGGAAGAGGTGGAGATAAAACTGATGGAGATAAGGTGTAGATTCACAGGCATGTCTACGGAGGTGTCACTAGTACTGGAGCTAGTAATTTTTAGTTGCTTGTTAAGGCTATATAAACTTGAGATTTGCTACCGCCTTAGCTGCATGAAGAAGCTATCTTCAACAGTATCTCAATTAGAACTTCACCATGAACAACAATGCACCAAACCATCAGATTTTCTTACTGAAACGAAGAAGTCATTGCATGAGATTGGGAGCTCTGCTGATATAAATTGCTGTAGACTGCTTGATCTCATCAAGATGTTCAATTGCTTCTCCCGGGAACAGTTTACGTTCTCTGGTAATCTGCAGTGTGTCAGTGCAGAGCTAGAGGTTCCTAATAATGGTCCTTACAGTCCGATTTCCTTTGTGCCTGGTCTCCCGGTGGCTATACCGTGTGCGATCAGGCTAGTTAATGTGCCAAGAGATACCTGTTTGTGGCTGAGAATATCCAGAAGCGATGAAACTTGCCAGTTTGTTTACGTGGACCCAAGCCTCTACAATGGCGATGGGAGGGAGAAGAGGTTCATGTTTAGTGCAGTAACTTACATGACCCCGAGAGCTGTTGTGTTGACATTGCGGGTTTCAATAGGCATAGAGTGTTTGTTTGAAGACATTGGTTACAGAAAACAGCGTTGTCATGGTCCCAAGCATCCAGTGGCGTATCTGTATAAAGAAAGAGAAGTTCAACTAGTTTCGAGAACCTAAGACCTCTAGTAACTGGTCGCGGCTTTTTAAAGTGCTGCTGATTGTGGCTAAGGACCAAGAGAAATTTGGATTCTTGCATCAATTGACATGGGATGTGCGATGTTACTGAACATAGATTCACCTGTTATGTTTCTTTTCATTAATCCGAGCTCAAGGAATGGTTAGGTTTTAAACAATAACCAGAAAATTGTAGAGTTAGAAGAAGATCCGAGTGTTACTATTTCTTGTTTTTGTAGCTGCTCAATATATATACAAGGCACAACAAGTGAGATAAATTTTGCCAAATGCATCAAAATGCTAATACCATTAAATCAGAAGGATATGAACATGGTCGACAAGCAGCTAGTCGTTTTCTACAAATGAACTGTGAATGCAAAAGGTTGCAGAAATTTTTCAACAAAGACAAACTAATTTTGGAGCAAGGACATTAACAAAGGCGTTTTTAGTCTGCAGCAACAATCTAAACCAATTTTGCAACAAAACCTCAGTCTACTGCAAAAATGAAGCACTAAAATTACAAACAAACTAAAGAGAGAACTCTTCAAAGTGTGTTGTTTTCATGAATGAATGTAAAGAGAGAACTTAGTCTGTTCAACACAAAGCAAAATAAGATATATGTGACAAACAACTAGATTAACCATAGTACCATAGACCAAACGAACACACGCCTTCCAAATAAAAGTGATAGTGACACATTCTTCATCAAACAGTGGCAGCAAGAACTTTCACCACTTGATATGAATCGATTCTAAGCACATGATCACACCACTCAACTTTCCCCCAAATTGCACCGCTTTTGCGCCTTCCAAGTTCAATCACCGCACACGAAACGATATGCAAACAGGAGGGAGTTACAGGGCAGATCTGGTTCCACAGAACCGCCATCTTTCCACCATAATCAGCCAATCTAACATGAGCAGTATCAGGGAACTTAGGTAGTCCTACCAAACCCTCCAACATTCTCTACTTGCTTAGCTTAGTGTCATACCATCTGAAAGCTCCGTCACAAACAGAGTACAAAAACAAAACATTCTCTATCTGGCAACAAAAATCTGAATGCATAAAATGAGCCATCCCTCCTTGTTCAACCAGGTCCCATCTACCTTCCTTGGAATCGTAAGCAACCACGCTTTGATCACGCCAAGTTACCACGTGTAGCTTTCCGTTAATGCATACGGGTTTATCGGAAAGCTCCCAATTTTTCTCGCCGCAAGGGATGGGCTCAGGATTCCAAATTTGTGTTTGTGTGTCGAACACCTGCATCGAGTTCTTAAAGGAATTAGCAGTACCGCCACTTTTGCAGCGTCCTGCAACATATATCTTTCGATCGAAGACGCTAGCAAAAAGCGACCTTAGCTTCACCGGCATGCTCGGACCTTCGCTCCAGGTGTGAGACCGGCAATCGAGAATCGACAAGCTAGATGAGGATTCGGAAATGTTGTAGATATTAGAACCAACCGCCACTAGACCTGGAAATTCTGCGTGAGGAGAATTTGGGATTGGGACTTTAGCCAAAAACATACCCACTTGA